AGACTGGAAATTGGGGATCCCATCGGCGTCCCTTTGGTCTGTTCGTATATTTAACCATTAAATGCGAAACGAAATGAAATTAATTTAAATCGAAGAAGGTACGAGGACATGGACCGATTTATTTTGAGACTGACGTTTCGAACACTCTCTCGGTTCTATTGTCAGAGTAAGTGGGTGGTTGTTCCTGGTCGCAGGAACGTCAGTCTCAAAATAAATCGGTCCGATATAATATCTGGACCTCGAATCTTCACGCATATTGGATTAAGTCAAATGTTACAGGCCGTTACTCCAGGGACGCGCGTCGGAGACACGATAAGACAGCGTGAGACTTGGCGTGGACAAGGACCAATCAACAATTGCCACCACCTCCCCCCTCCCCTACCAACCCCATTTAAGCGTAGCTGACGTTTGCTGTTTTCATTTACTCTGACAATGGCTTCTCGTGTAGAGCCGAAAGCTCAGAATAAAACAATCGTTCCAGAGATCGCGTCTCCCTGCATTATGCGTAATGTAAAATACGGATCTAACCGAAAAGCCTAAAAGTTCCAATTCGTAATAGATATTTTCATAATAATTTGCAGTCTTTTCTATTTTCCCGTAGTCTCTCAGACAAGTTGGACTAAGACAATTACATTTTCGCTTGACTTTGCCGACTAGGTCATCGCAGGAGTAAGGTATTTCTTAAGGTGACATGTGGTTATGCTGGTCAGTGACTAAGAAATTTAAATTAATTTGTCAAATGCAAACATAAGTATACCATCTTGTGTACAGTGACAGAAATTCCCTTCCGTCACATCTCTTTGTAAGTATTTCAAAAGTTCAAATGCGACAAGTTTCAGATTCTTCTGATAAATTACGCTTAACACTTAACGGATTTCAGTCTTTTTATTCAATTGTTCCTCAATACCTTTTTTAAATGAAAAACAAAAACCTCAAAATAGGATATTTCGTAAAAACATTTACTTAAATAACGAACTTTTTAATATTCTTTCTTATGCAGCTGCCTGTTTAGGTAATGCTTTTAGAATCATTTAAACATGTCAATGCATTGCCGAAAAATGTACGTCCACAACTAAAGGCTTTCTATAACAAGTTACTCCTTGAAAAGGCGCATTAATTAGATATTTTGGCGTCGAATATCTGTGTACTTCACCTTTTCTGAAGACTAAGTCAGGGTCAAAATGAGAAATTTTTTGAGTGTTTTTTTGGGGAAACATCTTCTGCTGTACACCGGAACAGCTTTCAGTATACGTGTTCACTTCTAGGCTCTGTTCTAAGATAACAAATGCAGAGCGGGGTGGCAAAACGTCGACGACGATTCTGAGAAAACTAACAATCTTCTGCTTTTTGCGTCTCAAACTTTTATTTTAATTGATTCTGCTCTATAGATAGATGATGTTTGGATATTTTTTTTGCTTACGACGTGACAGAAATAATTGACGACATGTATCGGGTCTTTTTATATATGCTTGTTCACGGTCGTTATTTTCAGTGGGGTAAAACTAACTACAGCCTTTAAAGTTTATTACCTACTTTTATGGCACAAAACTTGGCAGATTTGCAAAATAATTTTTTTAAACTTTATTGGCCCTTCAATATCCAGCAATGATGCGTTATCTCATAATTGTACTAACTTCAATTTTATAAAAGCAAACCAAAACTGTCCGTTCTCTGAACACGCATACTTACAACGCCTTTATTAGTGTTCTTTTATAGCACAACACTCACAATCAAGAGATTTTTCTCCGCAGCGTTTAATACCGAAGGAAATTCAATAATCGTTGGATTTAGCCCAATTTCGCTGTTATGATCTGATCTGAACTGACCCTTTTTCTAGTAAACGGTATTTTGCGCCTCAATTAAAATTAACGAACAAGATGAACAACACCAAATGTGTATTAAATCCCCCATTTAAATGTTGATCTTCACATTTCGTCAGATATGCAAGCCGTTGTATTCGAATTAATAGGGACATCTGAACTCATTGAGACGACTTCATACTTCTTTAACAGTCAGCCGTACAAAATGTAGCTTTGTAGGCGATCGGAGCTAAGCTCGTTCAGAAGCCGACAAGAGTGATGCTGCGCGATATATATAACACTTAAGTGAGTTCTTCGCAACGAATACACAGATCAGGCATGCAGTTAATATTTTACGAGACGGTAAAAATATTGTCAATACAAGCGAACATGCGAGTCACAGGAAGTAATTTAGAAGAAGACGACTCAATCGCTGGGACAATACCTTTATTCGCCTGAAGTTTCGACATCCGTCACAGATTTATCATCAGAGACTTTAGCAGAAAACGGTAGCAGAAGAGGGTTTTGCTAGTGTCTTTGATGATGAATCCGTGACGGATGTCGAAACTTCGGGCGAATAAAAGTATTGTCCCAGCGATTGAGTCCTCTTCTTCTCAGTAAAGATATTGTAATTTACACGGGTTAATAAGAAGATAATTAGCCAGCAGCCAACTTTTTGCATCGCAGGAACTGATGTGGATCGTGATTTTAGTTAATAGAAGAAGCGCTGTTGGCGATGAGGCCTTATAATTGTTTTTGAAAATGCGAATTCTTTCCGTAGGTAAATTAATATCAGACAGCAATTTAATGTGTGTGATGTGCTGTTTCTAACGTTAGGTATACAGGTTACGTGTTATTTGGGTCTATTCGGCCGTGTATCGAGCGAACTGTAGAAAGCACGACAAACTAAACACAAAGGGACTGTACAACCCAGTTTCCCCTTCAAAATTTAAGATTCTAAATTACTTCCGTAAATTCTTTCGATCGCGCACACAAAGTCGACTATTAGGAGGGTTTTTATTACCGTGTAAAACCCGTCAATTCGAGAATGCACACAGAATGCGCAGAATCTCTGTCTCAACACAGTGGTGCTGTGTTTTAACACTTGGGCCCAAGGACCCAGTATCTCGCTATCTGCCCGTGGGTGTATTGAGGGCTGCCGCCGCTGTCAAGCGATTG